CAGCGATTTCTTCATTCTCAAAATATTTCAAGGTTTTTCCAAACACTTCTTCTACTCGTTGTTGCGCAACCCTACGCCAATTGGCTGTTCACTGCCTATTCGCTTAGAAAAACGGGTTTATCTAAACTTGAAACTCTTTTAAATTTCCCGCGCATACGCCAACATTGAAACAAACTTTTAACCTTTGCTGGAGCAGGTTTTGGAAGGTCTAAAAATGTGTTGGAGTTGTTCTGGAAGGATTGAATAAGATGGAAATACTCAGCCTGCTGCATCAACATCCACGCTAGAAAGAAGGGGGAAGGAGCTTCAACATTCTTGTTGTGGAAAAAGCGATCATGATTGAGATTAAATTGCAGGCTCCTTTGCGGACCCCATACGATTTCCCCTTTGCTTTTTTGCACAAATCGAATTCCAGCTTGCCCTCCAGAGAGTGCCGCCGAAGTTTGCTAACGACTGAATATGTGGTCCAAACCATTTCCATTTCGCATACTATGACTTACCACAATAAAAAAGGTGAAACGCAGCTATCTTAACAAAATTTTCAAAAGCGAATTTTCACGGTCATCCCCCCAAAAAAGTTGGTGAAGCTAGTTGTCGGGTCTACACCTTGCACTTCTGCTTTACTCAAGTTGAACTTAGCGTGATTTTGAAGTATCGTCTACCGTTTTTGACAGAGGAAATATGTTGATCTCCCTCTAAAGATAAGCTCCGCTTTTCAGCATCTCGCGCCTCATCCATTAGTGAGCAGCTCGTCAGACTTACCACCTACTAGACAAATTCCCGCCGGAAATGAAATATCTAAAACTCGTCTCAAATACATCTAAACTTAAAGCTTGCAAGTAAAGGTTAACAATGTCATGGATGCTTTAATATCTATTATATTCTGCACTGCTTCTCACAATTCCTTTGCAGGATAAATATTGATTAATTTCCAAGATAAGTGTGCAATTGTAACATTATGAAAAAGCCGCTCCGCATCTCTACAAAATCCGTTGATAAAAGGAGATAAAAGGGTATTGCGGACCTATCGGTAAGTTCAAACAATAGAGTTACGTCTGAAGTTTTGAAGAACTTCAACAGTCAACCCTGTTATTGTCTGGGAATACACTTAACAGACGATTAATTACAGTTTCCTTTTACGCGGTCTGATAAGCAAGGTGTAAAGCTAACGTCTCGCCGTCATGGTTATGTGATAGCTCTTTATATACCTTTTATGTCTCATGAGCAGCGCTATCAGAAACTATTATCTGCCAAATATAAACGCACCTCTATCTTTTAGTCTAAAGATATCAAAAGACATTGATTGATGATGAGCTAGAGTAGCAAGTTGTAAATAAGATAAAAACAGTTGTTATCTTGGTTTTAAAAAGTTTACGAAAGACAGATCAGGCCAACCCTTATCAGCTCGTCTTTAAGTAAAAATACATAATTCGTAATTAGAAAGTGATAATCGAATAAACAATTACCATAGCAAAACCCGCAAGAAGTGCGGATGTCCTGCTGCTCGCCTTTAGCTGCGCTTTACTCAGGTCGTAATTGTACTTCTCTGACATATCCAGTTCTCCTCGATGCCTAAATAGATCTAATTGTGGAAGGAAATAAAAAAGCAGATGTAAATGGTGTTTTGGGTTTGGTGTGAGTTTGCCTTCCAGAATTTTCCTTTGCGGGAATCTGACTCAGCGCAATGTTATCAGTGGCGTGTAATCAGCTGCGATTGCCGATTTGCGCCATGCTGTTGAGTTTTTTCAAAAAAAATCTTTTTT